GCCGCGCCGGCGAGGGGCCCCGAGGGGGAGGTGAGGCGGCGGCGCCGGTTTCGGGCGGGGGAGAGCGAAGAACGCACTCGCCGTCTCCCTTCGCAGCTGCCTCCTGAGGCGGGGGATGGTCCGGGCCTAGGCTGCTCTGCTCGCGGCCGGGCCCGTCCCGAGGTGACGCCCGGCCCCGGCAGAGCTGCCGCTGCCCGGGCGCGGGGAGCGTGGAGCAGGTGCTGGGCTCCGGCCTGGGCCTCCCCTCCGCGGCCCGGGGTCCCGGCGGGGACCACTGCGGCCGCCGGTCCCCTCGGCTCTGCCGCCGCCCAGAGTTTGCGGGTCCCTCCTGACACCCTAGAGAGGGCGGTTGGCCTCCCCCGCCCCGACGTGCGTCGCCTTGGGGACAGATGTTTTTCCTTGAGAATTGACTGGTGGCGTTTTTTTCTGGGCTGAGTTCCTGAACAGGGCTGGGTGACAGGTTTGCCCTAGATGAAGTGGTGTCTGTTGTTTTCACTTGAAGTTTTGTGTTTGTTTTTTTTTCCCACAGCCAGTATTTTGGGTATTACACTGAAGCCAAAGCAGCAAGACCACACGTAATACATAAATAACACAAATTGAGATTGATTATGAAGACCTTTTGTGGAAGAGCTAATCCAACCACTGGTGCAATGGAGTGGTTAGAAGAGGATGAGAACTATGACTACCATCAGGAAATCGCAAGGTATGCTGGAAAAAATAGCTTGTTGTTCCACTAAATGTACGAAAAAGAGCAAACCCAACTTGTTTTTATGACAGTTTTGGGGTTTGTCTCTGTAGAAGCTCCAAGGGCACAAGCTGAACAGACTGTAGGACAGTCTAAATGTTACAGTGCCCTGTGTTGTACAGGGCAGAACTGTAAATGTAGAATTTTGTAAAGTACTCTCCAAGTAGTTTCCTTCTCAATTTTTTAAAATGTTTTCCAAGGTGGTTCTCTTAATGCTGACAGTGAGTGAGTTGTGGCAAAATGCATTGACTAAATTTCTTTTAAATCCTAAGTACAACAAATAATTGCCAGTTTTCTGTTCCTGTAGTGACTTTTTCAGAGCTTAATGTAACACCCAGAGAAATTGGGAAAATTAGATTTTGGGCTATTTTTAAGTAGTGCGACCCATGAAGAAATGGGAACCAAAGAAATTTAAGTCTTGGTAGCAAATGATAGACCATTATTAGGCTGTCTTTCATTGCTATGTATTGCTCTGAATGAACCTCCATCTGTCCCAGCTGTTATTTCACAGCTCTTTGTCCATAGGTTCATGTATTGAGTCCATTGCTGAAGAGAGGATATATGCCAGCAGTTAATGAGTTCATTTATATGCTGATGACCATATCACTGAAATGATGTTATTCCTTAAATTTGGGAAACAGTTCAGATCCTCAGAGTGTGTCAGTTTTCTGTGCATTTATGGGCCATGGGGACCAGGTGCCTTAATAAGAGAAAACGAAGGAGGCTGTATAAGATCTAACAGTTTTGTTGTGCTTTGCAGTAGGTAGTGCATTTGACTTGAATTTTTTTTTTTTGTAGGTCACGCTATGCAGATATGCTTCATGATAAAGACAGAGTAAGTATAGGAGCAAAAAAACTTTTGAATAGTGAGAAAATACGTATTTCCTATCTCTTGAATAGATGTCACTGCAAGATTATACAGGTTTCTCTGAAAGATGAAATGATCAAATTTGTACCCTTTAAGATACCAGACCTGTTCTTAGACCAACATCTGATTATAGTGTTCTGTTGTTTACGGCAGAACATGATATTTACATCAATAGCTGATTTTTGCTGTTCTATGTTTGACAATTTTGACAGAGAGCTCATTAGATGAAATTTCAAAGGCTGTAAATGTGAATCTAGGCTTCTTAGTTCTTATAGGAATGTAAGTAAAGTCTATCTTTATTATTTTGTGGTATTTTTAGCTCTTATTTACTGCTTAGGATTGAGAAAATCGTGGTACCATATGTACAAGCATGATAAAGTTTGGAGTGAATGGTTTAAATGTTCTTTCTGCTCTAGCCATTTAGTCAATAACCTTTTTAAAGACTTTTATGGTGTCTATACTACGAGTCTTGAATTCATACTGAGTTGAAACATGCCAGAGAGATCAGGCATTTAATAAGCCATGTAGAGACAGCAAGTTGTGTCTAAGTAATTAAAACAACTCTACTGGAATTATGTATCAAAAGTGTTAACTAGAATGGTTTGGAGAGGGATCCAGCAGACCTTCCAAATTTATAAGGTCCAAAGATAGCGTATTATTTGGAAAGGTTTGATAAATCATTTGGAAAGGAGTGTCTTACAATAGACTGTTATGGAGTAAATATAAGCATATATTTCAATAAATATACTGTAGCTGACAGATGGCAGGATTTGTTTTTTTCCCTGTTGTTATTGCTGGTATGCATGTAGCCCTACTTAATGGCACTTAACCAAAAGCTGGTATTTAATGTTTTCCAATACATAGAGAGGGGAATCTAAATCCAAGATACTGCAGCTCTTTTGCTGTCATAAGCACTGTGTGACTATTTGAGTGCTGCTGCAGGGGAAAAATAATGAGAAAACCAGTAATATCTCACATGGATCTTACTATTATTTTTATATCTAGAAAATGTTTTGCATTTGTAAATTATGTATGCACTGCAAGTAGCTGATTGATCAATGATGAGTGAATAGCGTGATAAAAATTGACATGCTTTAAGTGGACTGATCCCTCCAAAAACACTTGCTTTTGCTGAAAATGGCTTTGGTATGACTATAGCATAAAGAATGCCTGTAGGCTTTCTCCTGATTATAATCTCATAATCTGAGAATACAAGATTTCTCCACAAAAGTTACAAGTATAAATAGATAAAAGGTTGCTGATCTCTTCCCCCCTTCCTCCACAGAATACAAAGTATTATCAAGGTATTCGTGCTGCAGTGAACAGAGTAAAAGAAAGAGGTGAGAAAGCAATTGTTCTAGACATAGGGACTGGCACAGGGCTCCTGTCTATGATGGCAGCTTCAGCAGGTGCAGATTTCTGCTATGCAGTTGAGGTAAGCATTTGTTACTGGTTGCACATACTTTTGCATGCATGTTCATAACCTCTTTTTAGAGCTTTAGCACAGTTGTTCTGTCTGAATGATCAGTGCTGTGGGTGCATTTGCTATTTTGTATTGTGGCTTTTGAAGTGCGAGTTTGATGCTTTTATGTGTGTGAAAAAGACTTAGATCTTACAAGAGTATGGTTGAAAAGACAATATATTTTTCATTCTTGGGATAGCTTCTGCAAATGTACAGATGAACATTATTAAGTTGAGTTTTATAGTGTTCTGTCTTCTCTACTTATCAAAACTCAAGTGTAATATGGAAAACTTGATTAATGTTTTTGAAAAATGTGAGTATTCTCAAACTACATTGCTGATCTTCATAAGTTTCAGCTCTTGGAGATGGGTTCTCAGACCCACTTAATCGTAACATGGACCCCATCTTAATGAAGAGACTGTCTCAAACTTATTTTTCCATTTCTTTGTGATTAACTAGAGCATCTCCTGTTGTATTGGCCGTTAAAAGAAACATCCTGATGGTCATTAGCCATCATTACTTATCTTAAGGATAACGGGAACATTTTGGCCGGTTAAATTTTTTTTTTTTTTTTACACATTTGAAAAAACAAAGAGAAGATTCATTTGTCTGTAGGTCATAGTTGAAAGGGTGCACTGTGATTTTTATCCAAGTAAAAATTTACCTTTTTTTTTAATCTAGGATTTTATCAGGGACAGTCATCTTTCATATAGGCACAGGAAGCAATAAGCTCCAGAATAAATTTGTTCACAGCCAGTCGTAGGGAAGAGGCAGTGTCAGAAGTGATGTGGTAGGAGGGGTCTTTTGTCTTCTGCTTAGTAGTTTATTGACCACTCTGGCAGAGGAGGATCACTAGCTTGTGGGAGGAAGGGAGGCCCATGATGGAAAATAAAAGCCTAATCTGAAAAGTCTTGAGAGCTACTGTATTGGCATTCTAATAGCAATACATTATTCCAGTTTTGGAACTTAGGCTAGGTTTCAGAGTGGCCACAAATTTCTTTTCTTAAGTAGTCAGGCTGTGTGGCTGAGTAGAATATTTAAAATTTTTGAGTTTAAAAACTGGATTTGGATGTTAAGCCCTTTCACCACATTCTTCATTGTTCTGCTATTTTCAAGCTAGATATTTTCTCTACTTCGTTCTAAATTAAATAAAAATTCTCTTCACGGTTACGCTGTTAATGAAAGCAGATTTTTGGCATGCTTAAGTGACCATGTCAGTGCTGGTTGTTTGGGGTTCTTTTATTTTATGTATTTATTTATTTTATAGCTTGAGCACATATAAGTCTCTTGGGGCCTCTCTTGATGCATATATGTCTTTATTTTTTAAAATAACAAATTTGTTTAATGTAAACGCTAAAACATTCTTAATGGGTATTCTTGTCTTTCACAAGTTAAATTGGAGAAGCTTTTGGAGACAGCTGATTGTAACAGTGACATTGGAGCTCTATGAACTTTTGAAGTGAGGCTTGATGTCTTGTTTCATGGTAATGAATTTCAAACATAGGAAAAGATACAGAAGATGTTAAAATTTTTGCAGGACTAGATATGCTGCGTTTTGTGTTGGTGTCCTTTCATTTCTGAAAGCTAATGTTAGCTTACTAGTTTGTTACACTCTTGCTATTTACAGGTTTTCAAGCCCATGGCTAATGCTGCTGTGAAGATAGTAGAGAAAAATGGTTTTCGTGACAAGATCAAGGTAATCAACAAGCACTCCACTGAAGTCACAGTTGGGCCAGGTGAGAAAAATAGGCTAGGGTTAAAAAAAATTAGCAAGTACCTCAAAACCATGAAGGAATATGTCTTTTTCTTACTTGCCAAATGTTTTTAAATAAAACAAGCAAACTCTTTACTCTCTAGAGAGTAACACTGGAAATTTACTTCAAAAGGAAGTGTTGTAATAGTATTTCAGTAGTCATTTGTATTTCATAGTAAACTTCTGAAGGAAAATAATCTGCAGTCTTCAGCAGGTTTTCTAACAGGAGTAAGTTTTTGAATGACTTGTGTTTTCAGTGTAGCATCTTCTTGAAAAACTTACATAAAGTCTTAATTTTACAATATTAAATTGTGTCTTTTAGATGGAGATATGCAGTGTCGTGCAAACATCCTGGTAACAGAATTATTTGATACAGAGCTGATAGGAGAAGGAGCTTTACCAACCTACGAGCATGCACATAAATACCTTGTACAGGTAACAAAACAGGAATTGGTAGTGTGTCAGATTTATCCCTAGAGAAACTCTTTTGTCATTTTTGGAGTGGCATAGCGATTATACTTGATTTAGGCTTCTATATAATTTATAAATACATCATCAGCTGTGCTAATTTCTTATTCAGTGAATAATTTACTTGATTCATTCCTAGAATAAAGCTGTTGGAGTACGTATTATAAATCACAGGCTCTGAAATTACACTTAGTTTCTTTGTATTAAAACCAGTAACTTGCTGGTTAACAAATGTCTTTCAGAAAGGCATCCAGTTCTGATTTGGAGCTTTTCTTAGTAGTCTGTTCCAATGACAAATAATTCCCAAGATGTTTTAAAAAATGAATTTCTTTTCTTCTCCTAAATTTGAGGGGCTTCACCTCCCAGTCACTGATTGTTTGGGTTTTTTTTTACTCTGCATGTTTTTTGCCTGTGTGTCCTGGCTTCAGCTGGCATAGAGTTAATTTTCTTTCTAATAGCTGGTATAGTGTTATGTTTGGGTTCAGTATGAGAAGAATGTTGAGAACACACTGATGTTGTCAGTTGTTGCCAAGTAATGTTTATATTAAGTCAAGGATTGTTCAGCTTCTC